GCCGCCAACCCCCTTAACCGTCGACCCCTATTACCCGAGCCATCCTCACCACAACAACAACAACAATACCGTCACGCAGAATAATAACAATAACAACGGCGGTAACGCAACAACTGTTACGAGTAAGAGATCCATGGACGACGTTCTCAAGAGGTTAACCTGTAAAATGAACAGCGAGTCGCTGTCGTTGCAGGACGATACCAGTAATAACAGGCGGAACAGTCCGCCACCCTCCTCTACGCCGACCGGACACAACGCGCACTGGTTAGTGTTTTGTTCATGTTCTATTATGAACGAGTTCTTGGGGATTTCAGGGGGATGAATCGGGGTGTGTGTGAGATATTTGGAAATGAAATGGTACGAACTTTGTGAATATGAAAGAATTGCTCTTGTTTTATAATATTTTTAACGTGTTTATGAAAGAAATACCTATGGTAGAATATAATAATTACCGATATAAATAATAATTAATATGGAAAATAATAATTACCATTCGTACCATAAATTTGTGAACATCTCATACAAAGAACATTTAATTTTTCTTACTTGCTTCTAATTTCTTATCAAAGAAATTTCTTTCCATCAGATATAATATCGTAAACTTTCTAAAGCGATCTAAAGGAATCTATATAAATAGGATTTAAAGTTAGCGACAATAATCGAAATTGTCGAGGAAAAAAACTTCGATAAAAATTTAAGCGAAAAATTATATTTTTCTTTACGCTCTCTCGATCTAAAAACCAAATGACAGCGAACAATTTTCGTTAAAATGTATCTGTTATCGCGCAGCTACTTTTTGTAATCATTCGGCATTTCAGATATAAAACCTGAAATAACTCTTCTTTGACTATCTTCATTATTCGCGATAACCGCACAATATTTCTCAAATCTCCGAAGAGAGAATTTTCCTTGATATCACCTCGTGAATTATCTTCCGAAAAAAGAAAACATCATTTAAAGTTCACCATTATGTAATATAGAATGCAAGGTATCTCGAGTAACTTTACGGACATCGGAGTGTCCATCGTTAGAAAATGGAGTAGCTCCAGCTGTCGCGTATCGGCTATTTACAGTTTTCCTTTCTGTGTTTCTACCACGATAGTGGACGACATTAATTAAACGGCGCCAGGAAGTGGCCAGTCAGCCGGGGGAAATGAGGCCGACTCCATTGGCGAGCGTTCCTTCCTGTTTCCCAGATTCACCGCGCGAGTTCTGACGAGATCCGCCACGGTTTCATGTACGTTGTCGTCCATATTACGCAATCTGTATCTCCTTTTAATTAGCAGATATTGTTTCTGTTCTAACTGCCGCTCGTGGCTGGTGGATTCGTCACGATGTTGCAATCGTCACGTTTTTAATCTGCTGTTGTCTTCCGACCAGCTATCTGCCACTTTTATACACTTTACATAATCCATAAATACAGCGGTTATAAGAAGTATATTTGCACATATAGCACAACTTCGTTTATTTGAATGGAAAAAATTAATGTAGCTACGATTTAAAAGAGATTATATAGAAACGATTAAACGAACTCCAATTATACAAGCTACTCTTTTCCCGACAAGTTCGTCCTTAAAATTGTACAAAATTAAGGCAGAATTTTTAAAAGAAAATCGTCGTGAAACAAATTATTTTTTACATCCATAGTGATGGTAGAATTTCAAACGTTCAAACATTATTTTTCGAATAGATCGTCCAATGTACAAATATTTCAAGTATTTTTTTAGCTGTTTTTTTCAAACACGACCCTTCGAATAGATCGTCCAATATATAAACTTTCCGTTTTGTAACGACGAGCGTAGAACTATCGCTGTTCAAATATAAAAACTGTCATTGGAAACGTTCATCATTGATTTTTACTTTTCAAGCCTGCATACTACGCTAGATCTCTTGATACAGCTTGAAACTTCATTTCAAGAAGTTGAATAAGGGTAATTTTAAAAAATCTGAACGCGTACTTCAATTTTCTAGGTTCTATATTAACCACACAATCTTAAAATCGATCTGAATCTCAAGTTATAACTTTCTCGCCAGAATATTTAACGCTAACAGAAATATCCTTGCGAATGTTTGTTCGATGTGAATTAGAATATTTCTCGAGTCGTAATTCGCGTTCTTCTCGAGACTCTCTTTCGAGATTCAACGTACGCGAGAAAAACCCTAACATCTCCGATAGCAACGTCAAGAGTTACAGCAGAAGTATCGAGCTTCTATTCTGTCCTCTCCTCTGTATCGGCCGCGGAGAATAACAACGCGAACTGCTTAAATTTGGCCCCGCAAGTGGCCCACAAAAGCGTCCATTGTTCGAGGAACGACAAGATCCACAGATTCCAGTCGTAAACTGACTCTTCGTTACCGAACGGAGATCCATCCGTGAAATACAAAGAGGAGCGAGCGTAAAGGAAGTCGTCGAAAGACGGGAGCGAGGGCCGAGGGCAAAAAAACAAAGGGTCCACAGAGAGAGAGCCTGAAAATATCCAACTTCTCGGCTCAGGGACAAAGAAACGCGTCCGAGGAGAGGACGATAAGAAATCGGACGAGTCGACATTTTATCCTGGACTATGCCTTCCTTCGTTTCCATTTCACGCGAACGTTAAAAACGTACAGGAAGATCCGCGAAGTGTTAGGCACTCGTGGATTTTGATGAAACTCCATGAATGGGCTGAAAGTTGGAAAGTGATTATGCTATTATCAATGTAGGCATTCATACTAATTACTTGGAAAATGATTAGAATATACTTATAGGCAATATTGTGTTTCGAGGTTGTTAACGTATTTACATTCTTAATTCTAATTTTATGACACTGGTTAATTTACATTAGCTTACAGTAAACACGGTTTCACAACAGAAACTAGTAGCATATTGCAATATTCTAGATAAAAAGTAATATTTTTTTTATGTGCGTTTAGATATGACTTTTATAATGTTGATTCGATCGAAGTTTTATTAAAAAGTAAAGGTAACACCAATCGTGATCTATTAAGATAAAAAGTATGCAATCGACGAGCATTAAAATTTGCAATTTCAAATTGAAAACGAGTTGCAGGATAAACTTGTAAAAAAAAGTGGTTCTAGTAGTTATTCTCGTGTTAACAAGTTTCACTCGACATTGACACATGCCACTTTACAAATGTTGCAAATATTTCATCGAGTCCTGATTGATGTAGAATAAACTAAAGTCAGAAGTATTTTCAAAATCAAAATTTTCATTTTTAATATTATATTTCAGAAAGCACCGTGTTTATCTCGCGAACAGTAACGAATTCTATCTATCTATTAGCTTTCTCTTTCCGTAATCATGATAAAATCATAATAAATTCCGACAAACTCTCGTTAGTGACGAATTAAAAAAGTAACACACACGAAGAGAAATTTACCTTATTATAAAAAAGCCTAGTGTGGAAAGACGGAAAAAAAGTAAAACGAGCGGGATTTATCGTGGATACGATAGAGGCGCGTGTGTACGTTATCGCGAAGTACGATTAGACTATATTCAAAGTCGATATCGCACGGTCACGTAATAATAATTGCTCCATGTAATCAGGCTCGTGAATGAATTGATTCTTTGTATCGGCGCGATGGGGACGCTTGGAAGTTTTTCCGTTCTCTCTGAACATCTCTCGCACAATGTACAACGTCGAGGATACAGAGTAAAGATTATCCGCACGTGGCTAATTATGGATCACCGTCTCGTTGCAAACTTCTTTTGTACAGGGTGATGAAAGAACTCGACTAATGTCCAGGAACCATACATACATTCACATGTGAAGATAATTTTCTTCTATATTTATTGGAGTATCTCGGTTTGGAACATGTTATTTTGGCTGTGTTGACAAACTACAATATGCCTTAATTTAGAACCATGTATATGTATATATATCTTTAGAAAACTGTGCATATTATTAGAAACACGAAGGTAGAATTAACCTTTGGTAGTAAAAATTGCCATTGAGTAATTTTATCATCGTGTCATAGAACACTTTGCCTACAATTAGAATTTTAGCTGCGTCGTGCATCTCGAGCATTTTGCGATCCAATTGTCTCGTTATTTTGGTAAAGAAGTTACCTAATTCTGACGTAAGGAACACGAGAAACTTGTTATCACCGTCAGTATGATAATCATAAAATTGTTGGAAAACAATTAAAACAAGGAGATTTCAAGTTTTATAATAAATTTAAAGAAGGTTTAAAGTTCAACGACGTTTCTAAATATTAAATAGAAAGAAAACGAAAAGCACAGAAATTGCTAAGAAAGTCATAAAAAAATTTCAACGGGATGTGCATGACCTTTCCAACCGAGAATCGGAATCATCTGCCAAATATGCCACAGTGATTCGTCCACGCGTATCTTTCGTTCTATAATTCCCTCGTTTTCCTCTCCGAATCATCGGCCACGAGAAATCTACCAAACATTCCTACCGATGATTGAAACAAAACTGTCGCGCGGAATCTTCTCTGACTGGTAACATCGAGCCTGTTCGAAAAGCAGACGGAACGTGGCAGAATGCAATCCCCGAGGCAGCGTGTAACCATTGAAAGCAAACCGGTGAACTTGGCAAGCACGAACGAGCAGACAGAATCGTGCCAGCCCGCTGCCCACACGCCGCGTGGGTATCGGGGCCAAAATTCTTCCAAAATTCAGCCAACTGTACGACAACTCGCACTTACGTGACGTTCACCCGCTTTTTGGATTACATTCAATTCTGGACCCGACCCCGCTCCGATAGAAATACTTGTTTTAACGACCGATCGCGAACTCGAGCAAATTGCGTTTACTTCTGATCGATCGACGTAGGCAGATTTTTACACACATATGTTACTAACGCCGGCAAATTGTTGATATTTTGATTTATTATTTGTTATCGTGAAGATTTTACAATTTCTAACTAGCGACGTAATTTGACAAATTTTGCGCGTAGATTCGACTCAATTTCGAAAAATTTTCCATAGGAATTTTGGTAAATTTTATTCCGTGTGATCGAACACGTATGTCACTTATTTTCGCAGATGCTATAATTTATAATTTAGCAAGCTAGCCACTGTACACTTTGTTGTAAGAAATATATCACTAGCAATATTTATTAAAGTTCGGATGTTTAGATTTCAAGCTTGATAAAGTAGTTTTACTTCTCAAGCTGATTCAATAAAACCATCTTATTCGAAGCTCGATGACGCGGTTGAGCCAAAAACTTAATAAAATCAAAAAGATTTGTCAAGCAATTTATATCGAAAAGTGGTTTTACCCCTGTGGAAGTATCGGATAAAAATCTGACTTGATAAACAGCAGTTACGATACAGGAAATTTTCGATCAATTAAATCGAAGGTTCAGAAAGAAAATCGTGGATCGTCAATGTTCGTTTGTTCTGCAACAAGAGCGTTGCTATTTTGTAATCATTCTCTGCTTAGATATTCCGCGATGGCTTTTCAAACTAAATCAAACAACACCAGCATTATTCGCTGCTCGAAGCAGATTGCAGCTGCTATACCGTGAATCATTAAACCGTGGAAAGAAGTGGATCGCCAATAGGCAATAAATTTGCCTTATTTCCTTTACAATTTAACTTCTCTTACGCTTGATATCAAAGTCAATGGTAGAAGAAAGACAGAAAGGAAAAGTATTACCATATACAAAGCTTCAATACATAGTCTTTAAAAACCATAAATCAAGAAGGGATTCTACGTTCAGCGGAGAACGACAGAGATTCAAATGAAATAAAACTTGTTAATCGAAAGTATATTAATCCGTATATGATGTCTGTAAACGGAGACGCGCGTGGAATTAAAATGGGCGCGTCGCATTTAAAAATCCGTATATTATTATTACACGCTCCACTTTTGATACTAATATCTGCTTGCCAACTTCCACCATGCGTGTCACGCGTGTGCAAGCGTTTAATGATATAAACCGTCGAGTACACGCTGCAGATAAAAGTATCATCAATTTCATAATGAATGTAAGCTTCGACCAAAATTACGTTATAGCATGTCGTGCGATAAAACACATAACCAACAGAGGCGAAAAGTAAAAACAAGGGGAAAAGGAAAAGAGATAATCGAAAGCAGTCGTTATTTACGCGTAATCCAGTTTTATTTGCAAACTTATCGTACGATCGATACACAAACATTTGATGAAACGTTTGTGTCGCGAATCGTTTTATTGGATGTTCGATGATCGAAGATGGAGTACCCCATCGACGAAATTAAACTAGTGCGCTTCTTATCGTTCATTCAGCTCCGTAGGTGACCTTATTTTTAACCGCGTGACCGCCGAAAATAACGGTATGTCGCAAAATTGGCGTGACAAAAGAAGCAACACGCGTGACATGGCCTATTTTTGGTCAGCCGGAAAGGCTAAGTCCTACAAACGTACGGCGTCGCCAGCGGGGATGATAATAGCGACAGAATGAGCCTTTTGTTGCCTGATACTGAGGTCAACAGGCGCGAATAGAATCTTGTAGCCGCCCACCGAGCGTTATTATCTTCCGAAAGAAAGCCACGCACAGCAAGGGTCTTTCATCGGTCGCGCAAGGATAAAGGACGTATCTTTTTTCTCGATAGGTAACGGTTTTATGAGGCGCGATTTTTGTGCCGTAGATGAGTCGCGAGGAACGTGTACGATGTGTGCTTTAGGGTCTAATTAAGCTTGCATAGAACTCATCCAACGACTTTCCCTTTCTTCTAAATATTTTTCTTTCTGCTATTTTGTGTAAGGATTATTACATTTGATACCTATAGCTTTCCATAAATAATCGATACCTTTTTAAGCTATAAATTCCATAAAAAAGTTCAAAACTATCCCGAAGCTTCGAACAAACACCATGGATCTACCATTGCGACATCGTTCCGTCAAAGAATAGGAAAATATAGCCTTTTTCTTTTGTTGCAAAATAGATTTCGTAACCATTCGCGCATCACGCGGCAAGAACGCACACCTGAATCATCCAGCGAGGGTCGGTCTTTAAAATTCCAGCGTCCCTTTAACCGTTGACCCCGTAAGAAACGCCATACAGTTCGGGGCGGAACAGTTCCGTATATGTATATTGCCCTAGATTCCAGAAGGCGCGGTTCTTTCAATCCTCGTCCTTATCCTCTGGTTCGACGATGTCCTTCACGATTTCGTATGCTCGCCTCTCGTTGCATAGCCCATCGCGCTGCCGCTGCTCCGGCACAATGCGTCCGTATCACTTATTCGTGGTCCATTTTCCTCGGTATAAAAGAGAGAGGAACGAGAGCTCCGGGCGTAGACCAGGAGGGCACTTTAGAAGGAAGAAACCGCGGTGAAACGAGGAGAAAGGTGCGCGAGAGCGAGCGAAACGACTACTAAAGGCAGAGGAAAGGAAAGAGAAGGAGAATAGGAGGGTGGGTTGGCAGAGAGGGATGGAAGGAAAGAGCGAGGAACACCCCATCACGGGGGCAAACACTCGGGCTACCGTGATTGCGCGGCCGCGACCCTATCTATTATTCACCTGGCTCCCGGCCCTATGTACGCCAACTACTATCCCATTCCAGAGACCGGCAGAGCCACTGGAAACTCTTGCTCGCACGCGAATAGCCTCGTACGTGGCTGATCTACGTACCAGGACTGCTTGTGCAGCTTCCTCTTCCCTCTTCCTCTGTTTCTGTGTCTGTTCATCGCCTTCCCTCTCGCTCTCTTACTTTTTGTCCTTTTCTTCCATGTTGGCTCTCTCGGTTTCTCTCGCCCGTTGTGCACCGTGCCGTGCAAACTACAGGGACGAGAAACGACCTCCCTACGCGTGTACACGTACGTAAAGCGTAATTGACCGTGGTTTGATGGTGTACGTTGCAGCGGAGGCGTCGCCAGCGTGGCGAACAGCGTGCCACCCTCACCCCCGGCCTCTGGCAGGATGCAGAACACGGAAAGTCAGGTCCAGCAGGATAGCGCGTCAGCGTTCCTCTTCACGGAAAGCTTCGCAGAGAAGGAGCGCAGGCTCTCCGAGATGATCCTACAGCTGCAGCTGCTCAGGGAACAATTGCTGCAACAGCAAGATCAGTCGAAGGTAGGAGGACTTGTTGATTTTATTTCAGGTTTCACAGGTAGCTACTGGTGAGGAAGAGAGAATTGCGGATTTTTAAGTGTAAACTAGGTTTTTTGGAAGCTCAGGTTAATTGGTTTTTTGTATAAACTTGTTTCTCTCTGTGAATTTTGGATTAGCTTTTTGACCAACGTCCTTGTGACCGAGATTTTAGAGACTTTCGCAAACAGTTACAATCTACTTTACTATTATTTAGTATAAACGAGTCTTATGACGCGCGATCGTCAATCAAATCGACAATGATATCGTCGATTTGTAATTTTATGCTACCGATCAACCTCAAAATCACAATATCAACGCTCGTTATTCTTAACACCCGCGTTTCGTGCTTCCAAAAAATATAGTTTATACCGAGAGTCATTGGACCACGTTAATCACAACACTTTCTATCATGGAATTTCATGGCTTTGTGGATAAGAAAATGGTCAAGTAGATCAATTATATTTGTTATCAATGGCAGGAAAGAAAGAATGTTAATAAACGATACAAAGCACAATATACATGCGAAAGTAAATTAATCGCAAATATTTGCGGTTTTCTACTTTCGAATTTTCATAAAATCATCATTTATCGTATCATTAGATGAAACATTAGGTACCGTATTATTAGGTATCGTCAGAACCTGTTTGAATGGATCGATTTTACGCGGGTTATAGATACCGGCTTAGCTGCTACGATCTAGCAGCGGAATTATTTTCGGCTAATCGAGGCCAGCAGAGAAATTGATTGTCTGAGACACCGTGGTTGGCAAGCTAATATCGCCGATACAAAATTCGAACGTACATGCGACGTGACGAGCTAACGATGCTCGCGTATGACTCGCGAGATTTATCGATCAACCGCAGAAGAGGGACGAGGTTCTAAATTTATATATTAGCGGGCACGAATTTACCGAGATCGGAAAGCGACTATCAATAGCCGATAATTTGTCTTGTACTATTAAGCCGTTTCGTGATCCAACTTGTCTGTGTTATACCGTGACATTTATCTCAGTCTCGCGGGATACGGTAATCCGCTGATCGATCTCGCTTCCAACTTATGTTTCACTTAGCGATTCGACGTATAACTATACCCTAACGGGGATTTAATTAACACAACTCTGGAACACTGTTATCGACGAAAGTCGAAGATACGAGATTTGTTAGATTAGATCTGCAGCTCGAATAGAGGAAGAAATGTACATAATAAGGTAGGGTTATTTGAGTTATCTCGCTAGGTAAGTCAAATGTGTAGTTCATTTTCAGGTGTAGATGACTTAAAAATTGCTCGTAACCGAATTTGACGAATTACAGGAAAGTTACTTGGCTTGAGTCAAATAACCATATTTTATTTCATCATTAAATCTTACGTATAATCGTAAGTGAAAACTTGTCAATTGTCCAATTCGTAGTTGCTATGAAACATTTGAATTTAAAGAAGACAATTTTTATGCAAGAAGATTATTGACGCGATGACGAAATTAACGAAAAAGTATTAAGGAGGATAATTGCACCTTGTCTAATTTAACTCGGTTCTGTATGAAAAAGTTACTGACTCGATACTAGCCAGCTGTGAGGTTAAACAAATATCGTTGCGTTACAACTGCTCCAATTAAATCTTGCAGCGATCGTATACACAATTAAATTTAATTATCCCCGCTTACTGTTTCGCTAAACGGGATCGTTAGTCTCGGGCGACGCGGAGGGGGTGATACGTTTCAGGGATCCGCTAACGAAAGAACAAACGATAAAGATCGGCCGTGGTGTCTTCAATGCTGTTTCGCGTGCAACAATCTAGACTAATCAGCAATTATGCAAACAGTTGCAAAACCGTGGGTGCAAATTTAAACCGCTACTAGCGGACTAGAACCCGCGAGAAAAAGAAAACGAAGACGATCTGATTCTGTGCCTTAATGAATAACGTAAGTACGTTAAACGAACATTTATTATTTATTATTTGTCCTGATAAATATGATAAATATGTAAAAAATGGGAAATCAACGTAGATAGATAAATGTAAATTTAAGTTAATTCGCGATATTTGAAGAAACATTTCTTCCATCGTGTTTCCAATATTTTGAGGAATCGCTCGCATAAATGTATCATCTTATTCGAGCAACATGAATGAAATTTTCCTTGTGTACACTAGACGATATTACATTTATTCCATGTGAAAAAAGGATATACTACATTACGTAAATAGACCTAGATAATTTTCATTTCTCTTTAATACCTTTGCGTAAAGTAAAATGAGCATGCAGCTACACTAAAAAGAGCTTCTTTAAATATTGGACGTAAGAGGAACATTCTAGATGCATCACTCCACAGTAGGCTCTTTAACGCGTTTAACGTTATCGATGGACACATCGATTCTTTACGAGGGACCTTATAACCTTCGAAATGTAAAAAAATTCTAAGATATTTGTCTACGTACAAGTATCGTTTTATTTATTATTCTTCGTATATCAAACCCAATTTTAGGCTAACTTATCATAATCATCGTTTAAAAACATTATAAATTCTGGTCCCACGATCGAAATATAAACTGTGGAAATACGCGAACAAACGCAAAAATATTAAGACGTATGTCTCTCGCAACTCTGCGTAACATTGAAACGAATCGAAGCCCATTACGCACGGCACAGCATCGTGCACCAGAGAAACTCATTATCCGTGGCAATGCGTGGAAGCGGACACGGCGTTCTCCTCGATGGCACGCGTCTCTCTCGTGCAGGGCGTCACGCGCGAGTTCATCGCATTCCTCTCGAATCCTCTGCACGAACCACGGCACATCTCTTACCTCTCTAATTTCCATATTTGTTAAAAGAAAACCTTTACAGGATACGAAACACGCGAACAATGCTGGATTCTCTCTTCTGATTCCTTGAGGCGAGACGACGTCTCATAGACATGAACGATCGTATCAGCGGCATCGCGATGACTGGATACTCCGCTCGACCTGAAAAACTGCGGGTCATCGCGTGGAAGCGAGGAACGGCTTGCTCGCTCGCGGGAATCGCCGAGAAACCTGTCTGTTCGCAAAAATGCGAACGCGTGCAGATAATACCCGATGTATTACCGTTATTATGCCAGTCATTTACGTGCTGCACACGCGCAACCCCGTCGCCCCGGTCCGCCCCGCTGTCCCGCTAAATTCATCCCGCAGCGAGATTCTGCGAACGCGTTTTAAGCAAACACGCTCGTACTGGCGTGGCCCGCTATACCTGGATGCATGATCAGCCTCGTGTGCGTCTCAACGCCGTGGGATCATCTGGTAGCTGCGAGCATGTCGGTTTTAGTCGATTGGTAGCGACTATCTCATCGGGTTTGATAGATTTTCAATTGCAGGTTATGGATGAGACGCAGAGATGGAAGGTAGAGACGAGATGCGAGGCTTGTGTGTTAGTCATCGATTATGTTAATTATACTTCATGACGTAGATCGTCTGTAAGTCGGTCTTATCTAGCTAATTTCCACTTTTTCGTTTTGCGTGTCTTATCTGATACTCGACGCATCAGTAATCTTACGTTAGAGTCAATAGTCTTGAGAGTTACAGCATAATTGATATGTATAAGATGCTAACATATTACGAAGCAAGAATTAGAAATTCGTTCATGCACGTGGTCGTGGAATTTCTAGAAATTGACAGATTACTGTAGCGCATTCATTATTAATTAACATACACCTTTGCTGTTCAAAATGTTTTTATCGGCAAATGGTGAGATCTTTTTTAACGATTCTTCAAAGTCGATAAAATAAGCAAAGCCATTTCTACGATAACGCGGTACAAATACATATTTCAAATCGAACTATCGCAGACAATAAGCATACAAAATTCCTCTCTAGACTAAATCGCCTTATGCCTTAAAACAAACTATTACAAACAGCATAGAAAATTTTTCTCGCAGACGAGCTACTCGTTCCTTAATAACTCCGCGAAGAAGAAACTCGATGAGACAGGAAACATTGAGGATCCTCGTCGCGAGCGCTTCTCCAGAAACCGCGTTACAAGCCGGGGCGGGTCGGCACTTTGCAATCTCTCCGCAGCGTGTGTCGCCGCTCTTGCAAGGGTGGAGAACGTTTTCTCGTCGGCCATTTCATCGGCACCAAGTGAAAACGCGTTTGTCGGCGGCGTTTGCGCGGCAGC